CTCTCTCTCTCCCTGTACCTTTCTGCAGGTTGCCCTGGCCCTGGAGCTCTATGTCTCTGACGAGCAGTCACCAGCCACATCGACCTGATCAGTGTTTGATTGTTGTGTCTTGTTGCTTTTCTTCTTTTGTCTCTCCTCTATCCACTCACCCCAACCGGTCGAGGCAGAAGGCCGCCCACCAAGAGCCGGGGTCTGTCGGAGGTTTCTTCCGTTAAAGGGAGTTTTTCCTCCCCACTGTCGCCAAGTGCTTGCTCAAGGGGGATTTGTTGGGTTTTCCCTATGTAATAATATTGATAACAGTAAGGTCTAGACCTTACTTTGTAAAGTGTCCTGAGATGACTTTTGCTGTGATTTGGTGCTATACAAATTAAATTTGATTTGATTTGATTTAATGCGGTGTCGCTATGACAACCAGCTACACTGAGAGGGACCATCTGCAGTGGAAAACCAAGCACCTGGTACCAAAACTAAGCAGAGTTGAGTCGGTACCAGGTGGTGGAGAAGCAACTTAAATCTGACAGTACCTTTAAACGTAGACAATGACGTTATGATTAAAATGTGTGCACACATTTAACATGCATTTTGATTTCTTATTTGCATCATACGGGTCGCAGGGACCCAGTACCAGGGATCCACCAAGGTGGGAATCGACATCATCAACCAAGTGTAGGAACGTCCTCATGAGCCAAGCGGCGTGGTCACAGTGGGAGAGCATTTTGTCTGCAGCTGACATTTAGTTTGACTTAAGTGTTTTAAATCCAAACTATCCTCCTGAACTCTAGTGCACCTGTAACCAGGTGTTCACACACCTGGACGACAACAAACTCCAGGAAATCACACGCCCTCAAAAACGGGCGGTAGACAAAATGCTGGCAATTTACATGACAAAGCAACATTTCTTTAATATAGGGTAATTTGTTGTATTTTACATGAACAAAAAAGCTTTAAATTCAAATAGAAAGTCATAGTATAACATGTTCAACCATTTAGGACTTTAAAGAAAACCGTATATTTGCTTAATACAGATTCAGTGTATTGAAACAATTTTGCTGACAAATGAAAAACACATGAAACCAACACTGGGTGGTTTTTAGTTTCCAGATTTGATCTAAAACCAGATTGAACGGATCATCACGTGACTTTAGTCTCAATATGAAGCCGTTTCTGTGGATTAGGTCTTGAACACTGACCTGATGGTCGCTGGGGCCAGAAGGTGAGTCTGCGTTGTTCTGTACGGCGGGATCGCTGCTCTGGTGGTCCGGGTCCTGGTTCTCCTCCTTCATCTCGGTCTTGTAAACGATGAAATCCGGGTCCAGGTTCTCCTCCTCCTTAATCTCGCTCTTATAGAAGATGAAATCCGGATCCGGGTTCTCCTCCTCCTTAATCTCGCTCTTATAGAAGATGTAATCCGGGTCCTGGTTCTCCTCCTTCATCTCGGTCTTGTAGAGGATGAGGTCCGGGTCCGGGTTCTCCCTTTCCATCGCGTCTCTGTGGTAAATCCGGCGGTTTTCTACGTGTTGTCGCTGCCAACTCTGGGTTCTGCTCAACTAACAAACGGAGCACTGCTAAATCTCGATCTCACAGAGTCTCGCGGTCATTAGAAACTTCTTCTTCTGTGTTTTTATCGGCACCTTCTTCTTCTGTTTTTTTATCGCCAGCCGGTATCCTATTGTTGCATTGCCGCCCCCTTCCGATGTATAACATTATAACACTACACATCTATCTAACCCCGTATCTTTCAGATATTTAATCAGACATCTTAAGCGTCTGCCCTCCCTCCAGCCTTCATCATAACCCTGCGTCATTTCCTCCAACCCTACATTTCTTAGTCACGTTCCAGCTCTTCCCTTTCTGCCCCATATCTTTTACATATCACAACGTTTCTCCACTGTTTCTTGCTGTTGGCATTGCTCACATAACCCAGTCTGATGCTTTCCTGTAGTGATGGCCCTACGAGGCCCCCATGAAGCTTTGAACCCTTTTGGACTGTTGTGTCGAAAATTGGTTCACTACTGGAAGCTTCATTCATTGAGCACGTGGGTGCCATCTGCTGGCGTAGTGGTTGTTGTGCAGCCTTGCAAAGGTGACACTGATGCACCTTGTGTGTGCATGAGTTTTGTTGTAATGTGGAAATTACTTAAATAAAGCTTAAATATAACTTCATTTACATGTGTGTGTTTTCCCTCCTTGTCTTATAAAGTATTTGAAATGAAATGTTGACTACTTAAGTAATCCTCCTTCCCCAACAAACTCTTTAAGAATATGACATGGATTTATAATTATTCATCCCAAATTACACACTGGACAGAGTAAATATGTACAGGGTTCAATGCGGCTCTGGATGTAATTGTTTTGACAATATATGATGTGTTCTGATTGTGCTTGGTGTACACTGGGTGTTTTTGCTTGACTCAGGCATTTTTATATATATATAAAAAACAGGAGTCTCCACGTGGATGG